ATTCTTCGCGGAGACGAGACCGGACGGCGTCAAGCAGAAGCACGAGAAAGGAAATGTTACTTTCGCGTTCGTCCATCGATCAGGGCGCTTTTTTCATTTTCCCGGTCTGATCTCGAATATTCGCTGCTTTTTGTCGCTTGGATTTACGCTTGTTCGCTGGGCTCACGGGGTAATGTTGCTATTTTTCAACATTTACGGGAATTACAATTACTCGGGAATCGAGTAAGCGGCGGATGAAATTCGAGCAATATTACATTCGCGCGAAACGTTTAAGGAAATGCCTCTCACGTAAATAAAATATTTTTTTCGAAAAAAGAGAGAAAAAGAGCTACCCAGTGGCGGCGTCCGTCGCACGCAAAAAACCGCGATATTTCTCGTTTTCAATTGTAAATTCACATTACACAGCCTTACACGGATTTTCCAGAAGAACGGCTAACGCGGCATCGATTACGCGGGGATTTTCTGTAACGCCATTTCCGCGCATCCATCGATCGCGCCGAAGCGTTCGCCGTATAATGGTTTCATTTTCCATTTGTACCTCGCCTACTAACGTTCCAATATCTCTCGTTCCGCCGCGCTTTAATAATATTACGCATTGTTGCGAGCGCGGTATGCATGCTTGTAAATTCGCCACGGTTTTCCGCCAATTTCGTGGCTGCGAGCCAGACGCGCTCTTCCCCCTTCCTTGCCGCAGTTTCGCCGCGAGATACTCCGCTGTTTCGATTATAGACATAAATTTCTCTCTCTCTCTCTCTCTCTCTCTCTCTCTCTCCCTCTCTCTCTTTTTTTTTTCTTTTCTCGCCCGACGCCGATTTGCACGCACGGAACCCCTCTCACCAGTAGCGAAAGTCGCACGCGACGTTTTTCCAGCGATTTTGCCGATACACGAAATGCGGCTAATTCAATATCGAAAGCGCGATTCTCGACGAGGGTTTTCACATCGGACGATACAACGGACGTTCTTTTTTCCTTTTTTTTCCATTATATTGGAATAGTCGCGTTTCGCGACAGAACGGTCGATGAGTACTTTCGGCAGCGTCGCCTTTAAACCCTGCCGATTTACGGCGCCGCAGTGCGAGGCCTCGACATTTCGCGTTTAGAAGGATCTAAAAATTCAATTCGGCACCGCGAATCGTCACCCGATTCGCAACCCGATCCGGCGAATCGCACGTAGGAAATGGGAGGAACCCTTCTCGCGCGTTGTAAATCTGTCGTTGGGCACCGAGAGCACTGGGGTGGCGTTGGGACGCGTTGGTGCACTCAGAGAGGGTGGGAGGTTGCGAGAGGGTGGCTGAGGCAGTCAAGGGTGAGAGGCAGAAGAGAGAAAGGGAATGAATGAGAGAGAAAGAGAGAGAGAGGGGGGGGGAAGAGGAACGGTTCCGAGCTCTCGAGTCATTTCTCCAAGCCAACACAGACCTCTCAACTCAACGCCACTCGTGGAAACGAAATCTGATACGAGAAAAGCTAAACTCCTTCAAATGCACAAGCCGTCCTCTGTTCACCCCCTATCTACCACCCTCTTCCCACCCACGCCAGCTTCTCTCTCTCCTTTGCCTCCTTACTCCCTCCCCCGTCATTCGGAGTTTGCAACCCTCTGAACAACCCACCTGGTTCCTCCTCCTCCTTCTCCTTCTCTTTCTCCTCCTCCTATACGCTGCCTCTTTCTCTCTTCTTCCTTCCTTCTCCCGCTCTTCCTTCCACGTTCCCTCTCTCTTTCTCTTTCCCTCTCTCCCCTCCCCTCCCCCCCTCTCTCTCTCTCTGGACTCTTGCTCTCTTCAACTACCCACTTATACTCAGTCAACCCTTTTCATTGCGAAAACGTCGTTTTGCAATTCACCCTTTCTCCCCCGCCCCTTCTTCCGCCTGTACTTCCTATTCTCTTTCGCTCGCTTTCCCTTCCCCGTGTTTTCTTCCCTTTTTTATGCACCGCTCGAGAACGCTCCAATTCCTTGTCAGCGTCCTCTCCTCTTCCTTTCTCCGCGTCAGAAAGGGTGCTCGCTCCTCCCGCCACCGCTGCCAAGCTTCTTTTCTACCACTCCATCCCTTGATCGAGCATTGCCCGTTGCGTTGCGTTACTCTCTCCTTCTGCCCCATCTTCTGTTCTTTCTCCTCCATGGAAGAGCAGCCGCTCGACTTCCGACTGTTTAACCCCCTTAATTAACAGCCGGAGGTCTTGGGATTCGGTCTCCTCCGTGGCACGCGACCTTCTTTAAGAGCGGGCGAAGTCGAGTGGAGGCTCTTGCTTTCACGAATTGACCGGCAAAGAGGATCTCTCTCTCTCTCTCTCTCTCTCTCTCTCTCTCTCTCTCTCTCTCTCTCTCTCTCTCTCTCTCTCTTTCTTTCTCGATGTAACTGCACCGTGTGGCATCTCGGGTAAATTGAACAAGCGCATCGTCGGAGAATTATATCACGGGGATTCCATTGTTTCCAGCGTAAATTTCCAAGCATTTATACAAGGCGCGCGTTAAAGCGTTTTTTCCCTTCCTCCCCTCCGCGTTATCCGCTTTATCGTCCCGCGATCGAACGAGACGTCCTGTATAATTGTTTCGCCGTAGTACATCGTGTTACACAACGGTGACTCGTGTTAGCGCCAAGTCGGGACGTTGCCGCGCCGTAGCGAAACCCTAATCGCGTGACACGTCAAACTACTACGTACAATTCCAGCAAATCGCACACGCGGGAAAGCAACGACCTGAGACCGTGTCGCGCCTCGTCTGCATTATGCGGTCTGCTCTGTTCGTTCGTCGGAAGAATCGATTCGCGGGAACTGAAAATTTGCGATATCTGTGCGAATTCCCGCAGCCATTCGTGCCGCTCCCATTGGCGCGGGAAGGAGAGAGGAAATAAGGCGTGGACCTTAAAAGTAAAAAAAAAAATAAAAAAATAAAACGTCACGACTGTGCATGTTCGTTGAAAAACGGCGTGTCTTCCGAGTCATGACGACTTGAGTGTCACGGTAGTGCACTTGTCGGGTCGTGGTGCGCGGGATCGCGAGCTCGAGCAGATACCTGAAGCGCCGCCAAGATGATGCTGCCGCCGCACGATCCGCCAGGAAAGCTCGTTTCGCGCCGCTCGACGGATCAATGAAGTGTTCTTTCCGACAACAAAGCGTCGAAGCGATACAACGCCGGCGTGCATACGGCACACCTTTAAACAATACGCGAATTTAACGCGTCCACGCGCACTTTGGCGCAATGCTTGAAACTTTGCGAGTGTGAGTCTTTGCGCGCGTCTTTGGTTCCGTGAATCTTAATCTAGACATTTTCGTGAAAAGAACAAAAGTTATATTCGTGTCTAGAGAGAATTGTAGAATTCACACAGGATGTGCGTATTTAAGAGGATAATTTTTCCATCATCGAATTTTTTTTCCTTTTCGTTTTTTTCTAACAAAAGGGAAGCCTTTGTAGATTTAATGGAATAAAATAGCTCCGTTTAATTTCCGTGTAATCTATTGTCGTTCGGCAACGTTTAAAATATCGAGTATTATTGGCGATGCCAATAATACGCGCAGCCTTGTCGGTATCATCGCATATTTAGCACATCTTTTCGCTCTCGAGCGATGATAATTATTCTCGTAAATTTCAAGCATAAGCGAATGAACGCGCGCGTGCGCGCGCGCGCACGTATGAAGGGTAGAGACCGGAGAGAAGGAAAGCGGAATAGCCAGGCCTGCTCGGTTAAATGCTCGTAATGACGTCTCATAATTGCATCGAAAGTTCCCAGGGAAACTGTAATTATCGTGCGGGCTCACTTCCAACGATATCTTCGGCCCCCGGCTGCCTGTAATCGACGGGACGCCAAACCCGAAGAAAGGAAAGCCGCTTTTCCGACGGAATATTTTTCCAGGCGGGCGAGGATGGCGTTATCTCGAATCGAAAAGAGGATCGAGGGCTTCATAATGGAGTCCCGGTCTCGGATATTTGAGAAAGAGAGAGAAAGAGAGGGAGAGAGTTGGCGAGAGAACAGAAAAAGGGGGAGAGAAAGAGAGAGAGAGAGGGGGGGGGAGAGAGAGAGAGAGAGAGAGAGAGAGCAGTGGGAGGGAGAGAGGGGGAAGGAAAATGCTTAAAAGTGCGTCATTTGAAATTTTCTCTAATCCGCGCTCCAATTAAATCAATTAGCGCGGACGAGAAGATTGTTTAATTCTCCTCATTCGTACACGGCACGATTCTCCTGCGTACACTTCCTTCCGTAATCGTCATTTTTAATCTTCCGGCCGCTTTGTTAAATCTCAGCATTCATCTTGCAGAATGGCAGGTAGACGCGCGTACTCTAATCTTCGGATGTTTGCGCGCGATTAAATGTCGATGGTTCGAAGCTTCAGCGTCCTTGCTTTTCAATTTTGCCGAGTTTCAATCATTGCGCTTGCTCAAACAATTGTGACATTTCATCCGCGATTAAAAAAAGAATGATGCGTTCGAAAATTGCGACCGCTGCCTGTACAGAGATCGCCGTTCGTGGCGGACCAGTCGCGCATATATCGACGATTAGTCGAAGATTCATCGAGCTGCCACGTTGATTTGAATAATTTATTCGACCGATCAATTGCATTAATATTCATTATTCTGTCAATCATCGACACTCGGATAATTATCCGCGTAAACGTTCATTATTCAGCTAAACGGATGCGCCTGCCGATTGATTCAGTACTCGGCATGCGCCGGAGCTATCCAAACATTTCTATCGGTACAACAATGCCGATACATTCGGCAAAGCTCCTGATTTGTGATCCGGAGATGACTAAACTTGCATTCCGTTTCGGAAGATAATCATTCCGGAGCCAGCTCCTGCGTATATAATGGCTGTACGATGTCGCCGTTGCGTCTCGACGTCTTAAAGTAATCGCGATTACGTTCTCGCGTATTCCCGACGAATTTTCCCTTTTAGCGTATTTCTCCTCGCCGAATCAATTAAATTAAAGCCCGCCGATGCGCGCTTCGTGCCGCGATTACGTAAGGCGCGTCGCAATAAAATTCGGGATCGATCGTGAAGAGTCGACTCACCCCGCTGAAGGTTTTGACGTTGTGGAGAGCGTTTTGCGCTGCCAACGCCGCTTTCCTGGTGTAAAAAGTCACGAAACAACATCCTGCAACAGAAAATTAATCGTCATGGTTAATCGGGCGGCCTCGATTGATCGCGCTCGTTGATTCTCGCGATCAATCGCCGGGGAAATCGGAGCGCGAGGAACGGTGGGTTATCGAAGCGCTTCAGCCACTTGCCAACAGTGAGCGAACGAAAAGTTCGGGTTCACCAGCCCAGGTCATCATACTCGGCACGGCTCCCGACAAGAAACTCCATGATAGACACGAATGGCCGCGGAGAGTTCGCGCCGTCGGTGACAGGTTCGATATGGCAGGGACATGGGATCGGAGGGGAAAGAGTGTAGTCGACTCTCGGGGACCTCATCAAGGGTCTGCTGTGTATCCTCCCCCCCCCCTCCTCCTGGTTGGCGAGGCTGGACGCCATCCAAGCTTCAACCGGTCGATAGTTACGAATTGCCAAAAGTTCGATACGACGCCTGTGCTCGCTTCATCGCCCGCCCGACGGTGCTCGCTCTTTCCTCGACCGATACCGTATATTTGACCCTCCGTCCTTAGTATCTTTAATGTGGCGGCTGAATCGTTAGTTTACTTGTAGACGTGATAAATATGTGCTCAGTAGTAAATTCTGTTTTGTACCGAGTAGAGACTCGAGGATGGGAGAGTCGGGTTAAATACGGTATAATGCTTAAAGAAAATGCGTAAATCTTCGACAGAGAGAGAGAGAGAGAGAGAGAGAGAGAGAGAGAGAGAAAATGTTTCGTGAACTCCTTTCCTTCTTCGTCGTTCAAATTCAAAGAATCAAGAATTGAGAATGTGCGATATTATAAAGCTGAAATTAAAGATTTTTGTAGGACGAATATTTTAGAATTCGTGGTTTTAATAATTCCGCTTTTAGGAGCTCGTGAAAATATAGAAGGCTGAAAATACGTACGTTCAATAATATCGAGCAAATACAGTAGCGACATGTTGAACTCTGTGGACTAGAATTTGTCGAAACTAAAAGAATAATCGCGAAATTTTAGAAACGTGAAAAATCTCTCGCCGCGAAGTTTCCCGTCACGAAGCAAGAATGTGTGAGATTATTCGACAGCCGCATTATTTTTTCACATCGCGGCGGAAGCAATTTTCGTGCGCGCGGTACTGCCATCGGATTTTCCAAATGCCTGGAAACACGGCCATGCATGCGCTAAGTACACGGCATAGATAATTAAGGTGTCGCGAGCGCGAAGTTAGCGGCATCGCAAGTAAATAACGGTCAGGTTCAATTAACAGGCTTCCTATTTACGGTGTACACGAAATTATGATAAACCTGCAACGCAGCGCGTCGAGCATAGAGAGTGTAATTATAATGCGATCGCGGTAATAGTTTCGGTAACAAGCCTTCCAATTACTCGAGGAAATCCCGATATTCCGCAATGTTTTGTTTGGTAACGCGATATTCAATATCGCATTGAATAACGCATGGTACCGCGATGAATGCATAATTGCGAATCGTGCAACTCGATACATGCAGCGGGCGGCGGGTCTGGAATGTTAGAACCGTCGTATTAAGTTTGCCTAATCGAAAAAGGAGTTCGCTCCGGGCACGGTTGCGTATAAAATTTCATTTCGATCTCCATCATGCGAGGTAATTCGAGATCGCGCGCAGAGGAGAGAGCTCGCGCCAACGTCACACAGGCGAATCAATGACAACGGAATAATTTTACAAAGAAATCGCGCAAAAGACACAAATATACAGACGGATCGGATATATTACGCGAATAAATTCGCAAAAATCCAACGAGCTCGCGTGTTATTGCACGTCGCGCGCTTTTATTGCAGTTCGCGTCGCGAATTATTCGCAATTAATCCGCGTCCATCCGCGCGTGCCGTGTATTCGCGATTTACGATGATTCGAAGCTGATGATGTGACTGCTCGTGTTAAAATAGCACTGGGTTGACGAATTTTTCCCGAAACTCTTCCGGGCAAGATTAGCCTTCCGTGTGTGCTGGGAGGTAGAAACCACCACGTGAATTAATATTTAATTCGTCCGCGGTGACAACCTGCAGATTTTCAGAATCGGGGCTGTCTCGTTCTCCCTCCCTTCCGGTCGTCTTGTTCCCGTAGGCGAAGTTTCTCGCGTGCAACATACGGCAACGAAAGGGGGGGGGGAGTGACATTCTTAACATGTTAGCAGCGAGTTTCCGTAAATTACGGCGCGAGGATGCGCAGCCGGGGGCCGGGGAATTATGTTCCGGCGAGTAAGTAATCTTAAGGCATCATCGCTCGATAGACCTTTAAATCACCGCCTGCGAACTGCCCTCCCCTTCTCACGCGTCCCTTCGCCACCCGCCGACCCGGCTGTTGTAATGCTCGTGTCTACAAATGACCTCATTCGTCGAGGTGCCAACGTCAACCTCCGCTCGTCCCCGCTACACCTCCGCTCGCCGAGTTATTCCCTTTTCCCAGCCGATTTTGGAGACGCGAGGTGGAGGCGGTGGTGGAGCACGGTGCCTCTTCGCCTTCTGAAATTATTGCCTTTCGCGGAGGAGCGATGGCGTGCGTACGTTTCTGACTTATTCAGACTCATCAGGTTCATCTCGTTGTTTCCGCGTTATTTCGCGCGCGCGCGCGCGCGCTCGCGATCCCGCTGAATTATTTTGCGTATATTCAGTAATCTGTTTCGCTTTGTGCGCTAGCGGTATCTAACAAACGCGAAGGGAGAAAAATTGCGAGGGAATAGTTTGGACAATTCGCCAAATGCAGGCGCGTGCGACATGCGGCGTAATTGTCGCGATTGCTCCGCGCGAGCGAGCGCGCGCGCGAATTGAGATTAATAATTAATAAGTAAATTATTAAGCCGTGCGCGCACGGGCAACGGTGCGACCGGAATATTCCCAGGTGCACCTGTGCAACATGGTCCGAATGGCGATAGTTTCCACGAGCGTGTCGAGTCGCGAACCGATGTAATTTGCCGAACTAGTTTGGGCGGCGGCACGTTTTTGCCAGAGTAACAGCTTCGTCGGTCATTTTCACGCCGACGGCGCCTCGCCAAAGAAGGTGACGTTGTTAGAACGGAGCTCTCTCTAATCATTAATCCGGCGCCTCGGCCCGACAACACACACACACACACACACGGCAAAAGTAATTAATGATTATCCGCGACGCGATTTTGTGTGCCACAGCGACGATTATGCATAAATGAGGTGCTCGATCGCGGTGTTTCGCGGTGAAGACGGAATGAAGGAGAGAATTATCATTATACTTCGGATCGAGTGGAGAATGTGCTGGGATGTGATTACGCGATGCGTATAACTGTTCATTTAATGTCGTCCACGTAGTACACGCGGTTCGCGGAGAATTATTCATCGCGCCGAACAAAACGATCATTGTTAGCAGGTTTAGCGTTAATACCAACGGACGGTATAGATTGTAAACCAATGCACCGAATTATTAACTAATTTCTACATTAATCCTCTTGGCGCCGGGGATAAATCGGAATAGTCGCGGCCAGAGCGGAAAATTAGAGCGCATTTTGCCGAGACTTAGCGGCGATTTCGCTGCTTCTCGACGTTTTGTCTGACGATGATTGTCGACGAAGGCGCCAACAGCCGCACCGTGACGGCGTAAAACAACACCGGCGAGAAATTCTTTCGGTTACTCTAGATGAGCTCCGTTGCCGTCGTTATTACAAGCGAAGTACGAATTTAATTTGCACCTTGAATTACCGTCTGCAAAAAACACGATGAACTCGCACGAATAAGCGAGCGAGCGAGTGAACGGACGGACGAGCGAACGAGCGAGCGAGCGAGCGAACGAACGAACGAGCGAGCGAGTGAACGAACGGGCGAACGAACGAATGAGCGAGCAGACAAACAAACGAACGAACGAACTAACGGGGACGTCCGCCACTAGGAATTCCCAATTCACGTCGTAATTATCACTAATTGGACTCCGGATTATGCTCACGCGATCGTCGGCGCGTGAAACGCCCGTCGTTCGAGGCGCGAATTATGCATCGCGGGCTCCATACGTATTTCTGAAAGTTTCCAAGGGTGCCGCGACGCCACCCGACGACGACGAGGGATCGCGCACGGGACATGAAGGGTCGCGAAGAGGGAAATCCGAACGACCCTCTGTGCTTGATAATCGTTTGCGCGCTCGAAAGTTGAAGATAAAAAGTTCGGAGCTTCGACGAAACGGGACGAACCTCGTGGGTGAAATTCCCCCGGAACGGCACGGAGAGGAATTGTATTCCATATTTTCTAGTTTCGGCAGGGGTGAGTGCGCCGTGGGTAAAAGCGAAGGGGTGTTGATCGCACCCCGTAGGCCGACGACGAGCGATCCCGGTGGCCGGTCCGGTGGCGTACTTTCCGTTACCGATCCCGCGAGTTCGCGCCGCTGATACCGATGGCGATGCGTGATTAGCGTCCGCGGGGAAATCTACGGCGGACATGGACGAGAGCTAATACCCGCTTCTGCCGCAAACGCCGGCGTGCCTTTCCGCGCCCGACAGCAACGCAGCGAGCGCAACTAGTCTCGGCGCTATCCGAATCAATAACCGCCTCTCGAAAATCGCCGGCTCCGTCGTCGTCGCTCTAATAGGGATATCTCCAATTACAACCGAGTTCCCGGCTTCTCTCATTAGCGGTACGGTCGCTGTCGGGAATTTTTGCGACGCCTGCCGCGTGACTCCGAGCCGGAGTTGAGGGAGTTTTATTCGAGGCGCTGATAAGACTCCAAGTTTTCGTCCCTGCCGCAATTACATTCCCTTTTTTCGTTCCGTCGCGCGCGCGATTATTTCTCGCGGCTTCGGCGGAATTGACGTTGTCGAGTTGATTGTTACCTCGTCTATCATTGCGGAGGGAAGGAGGACGCGGGAAATGCGCGTCTGTCGAGTTGAACTTGAGAGACTGATGTTTCGTCTCGTTGTTCCCACGACTCCGTCCCAAATTCCAGACGGAGCAATCCGATAAATTCTGACGCTCTCTCGATGCAAAGATCCGTACGTTTGAAAATACGATGTCAAGCGGCGAGCTGCCGCATCGTTGTAGAACAAAAACT